AAAAAAAAAAAAAAAAAAAAAACGAAACGAAAAGAGTAAAGACTAAAGCGAAGACCATTAGCACTCTGACCACAGAGTGATGCGGCTTCGATCGCTGCATACGTGAGAATATTATCAGCTACCTTAATGATGCCAATGTTTCACCGCAGTAAAATGACGCTTAATCGCAGGACGAAAAGCAAGACGCAGTAAGAATATAAGCGAAGTCTTGACAATTACAGTCAATTCTTCAAAAAGAGGAACAGAAGGAAGATTATCGTAATCAAGGCATGCAGTGAAAGTCCTACTGAATTCCTCACATCTGCGGATCTTTCTTTAAATGTAACCTAGCTGTAGCGTCAGAAATTCTGCCAAAATTTTGAGTGCCCGTACATAGGAACCACGCATACCTCAAGGCTGAATTTGAAATACTTAAATTGTACTTGGACACGGAACATTCCTCCAGACGCCCTTACGTAAGTACCACGCATACCTGGGGGCTGAGTTTGAAACCTTTGGCTATCACATGCATAGGGGATATCCCTACAAAGTTTCAGCCCCCTAGCTCGTGTGGTTCCCGAGATCGCCTTCTCGCCAAAAAATTTACATATTTTTTTAAAGCGTCCATACGCGGCACCCCGGCGCCCACGGGGGATGAAATTAACCCAGGCTGGAACGCATCGGGCAGGCCCGTGCGATCATGCGTTTTTGCACCGAACTTTAATTACTCAGGTCTTTAACTGTATAAATGGCTTTACACCTACCTTTTGCGGTCACTAGCATAAATCACCATAAATTTTGCGAAGTAACGTATAATTTCCACTTAACAGTCGTTCTTTAAAAATAATCTAGTTGTTCAGTGAGTGACCTACTTGTTCAAGACTTTTAAGTTTCCGTACGCAAGAACCACGCACACCTCAAGGCTGAATTTGAAGTACTTAAGCTGTACTTGGGCAAGGAACTTCCTCTAAAACTTCAACTTTCTAACTTTTCTGGTTCTCGAATTAAAGTTTTGCCGTATATGGGTTCCGCCCGTATATGGCTACTCTACGTACCTGGAAAGCTGAATTTGAAATTTCTAAATTGCGCGTTGACAGGGAGCATCCCCTTAAAATTTCAGCCTTCCAGCTCTGCTGGTGCCGAATCAGCAATTTTTTCGCCAAAACCTTCACATACCCGTACTTTGGTACTCCGCTGCTTGGAAAACTGAATGTGACATTTTTAAATTGCACGTGGACAGGGAACATCTGCCTGTAATTTCAGCCTTCTAGCTCTTCTGGTGGCCGAGTTAGTAACTTTCCTGCAAAAACTTTCATATGCCCTTACGTGAGTACCATGCATAGCTTGGGGATGAGTTTGAAGTATTTGAGTTACAGTTTGATAGGGAACATTCCTCCAGAATTTCAGTTTTCTAGCTTCCATGGTACTCGAGTTAGCAATTTCCCCCATCCCCCCTAAAACTTTCATACGTTCTTACGCGAGTACTGGGGGCTGAATT